TTCAGCTTTTTAATATCTTGAATTCCCTTTACTTTGGCTTCTCAGTGCTCCAGTGCGATACTGAGAGTCTCTTCTGACATCCACCTTGGTCTTTTCTTCTTCCTCTGTCTTTGTAATGACTTTGTGTATTCTTCCTGGATGATATCCTCCCACAACTCATCTGGTTTTCACTGATTAGTGTTCAAGGCCTCAAACCTGTTCCTGAGATGGTTCTGAAATTCAGGTGGAATAGACTCAAGGTCATATTTTGGTTCCCATGGATTTGATTTCATTTTCCTCAACTTCAGCTTGAACTAGCATATGAGGAGTTGGTGGTCTATTCCACAATCAGCTCCTGGCCTAGTTTTCACAACTGATATTGAGCTTCTCCAGTGGTTCTTTCCAAAGCTGTAAGCAATCTGATTCCTATGCATACCATCAAGTGAAATCCATGCGTATAACCTGTGTTTGTTTCTTATACAAAGTATTTGCGATATACAAAGATAAATATGGTTACTTTTTGAGAAATTAGAACTTTCTTGGTATCTGGATATTATATTTGACACTAACTAATATTAAGTACTTTTCCTAACTAAATCCCAAATGCAGCCAACTTAAATAATCCAACACTGTGTATTTAAATCAGCAAGAAAAGCTTTCAGGAAAACCCTCCTCAGGAGCAAATGACTAAAATGGCTGGGGATGGAGCAGCATGGGGTAAAGGTGCTTACTGGACATTGGAGAGATCTGTCTTGACTGGGATGTAGTGAACCCATGGCTTCAGCTGTGGATAGAAGAATTCCAGCCACTCGTCACCAACATGGAAAACAAGTGAACCACACAGGAAGAGGTGTTTGAACCGGAAACTTGCAGCTACACCCCGGAAATTAAACAGATACCTAAGAAAGAAAAAAGAACCAAATGCACTTGAAAGTACATGGCTGCTTCTACAGGTATGGACTTTTTTTTTTAAATTCCCTCTCCCCCTTTTTTTAAATGGCTTTTCTCTCTTCTCTTTCCATTTCCAACCTCCAAAGGCAGTATACCCACCTAGGGTGTCCACCAACTCCCTTTTCTCAGGCCAAGGCTACACACTCTTCCTGAAAGAAGAGTTGACGTGAAGGAACAGGGATACTTTCTCCAGGAAAAGCTGACAAGGTCAGATGTTGAGTGCTGGATACAAAAGGTACAAGGCTCAGGTAGATCTCATTTTCCACAAGCTTTTCTAAGCTGCAGGTGTTTTTTTCTTTTAACATTGAAAAATGTTTTAATTTTTTTAGGCTGGATGTCTCTTGTCATGGCTAACCAAAGCTCTGCTCATCCTACGGTCTCTAGTCTACTGAGGAGGTCTGTACTGCCAGCCTTTAGGTTAGCTGCTGACTATTCATCATTTGCACGGCTATCATGAGCCAGGAGTGACTTGACTGCAATGAGGGGTCTGGTTTTGGTTTTAATAATTTATTCATGTGAGCTGTAAATGGTTTTATTAACTTGATAAATATGTAATCTAACTTGAACTCTGAGACATTGAGAGAGTCAGTTGTATCACTTTGCTTATCAGCATGCAAACCCTCTGTAAACAGGGTCCAAGTTTCATTTATCTCTGCAGTTCCCACGGAACTAGATCTGCACCTTGTACACAGGAAGCTTTCAGTAAGCTAAATGAATTAAAGTGACTTTCATAAAGCTAGCTTGTCCTCAGTACTAAGGTCTTTCCCCCAAAGGCAAGCTGACTCAAAATTAAATGGAAATCCTGACTTAGGAGAATCAAGAGTCTTACTTGTATTTGCAGTGATCCACAAGGTGGACATCCTTAGCAGCTGGCTTCCCCAAAGTATCCTGTAAGAGCAAAGGAAGTTAATAGTAATAACAGCATTTAGGAAAGACCACTGTGCAGGGAGCACCTGTTACAACGTTTCATGAGTATGTCCTCATTTAAAAATAAGCATACTCAGGAGGGATCACTATCCCCATTCTACAGAAAAGGAAGTCAAGGATTCAAGAAGCTGGGAGATAGGGAGCTCTGGTGGCCTAGTGGCAAGACGCTGCACTGCAATCCCAGAGGTATGTGGTTCAAATCCACCAGATGCTCTGCTGGAGAAGAAGGGGGCAATTTCCTCCTGTACCAGTCAGATCTGATTTGACGGTACATGTAAAAATTAAAAAAAAAAAAAAAAAAAAGAAGCTGGGAGATTAGTCTAAAGCCATATAACCCCAAGCAGAAGAGGTAGAGGGAGGTGGGGTTTGGCCATGATTTTAAAGTTTAAGGTCCCATGACGCTCTCTGGCCCTCTTTTGAATTCAGAGGTCACATTTCCATTCTATATCAATTATTTCCATTCTCTATCAATTATTTATGTAGCAAGTCACCAGTAGTACCTGATGAGCTTAGAACTGCAGGCCCCCCCCCCCAAATTTGGTTAAACATATAAAATATTTAATATGCAGACTGCCAACATCCTAGGTGGTAGGATCTCTTGTAAAAATCCAAGTTTCCCATTTTCCTTGAAAAAGCGCAAAACATGGCAAACTGGACTCCCATTCCTATTTGGCAGAAAGCCACTGAAATTCTCCATGTTCCCTCTCCAAGGGATCCTGCTCACTGCTCTGCATTACCTGTGGTCCCCCGGGAATACGCCCTGCCCCTCTACACCTCACCACCACCCGCTCCTGCCCCATGTAAATGTCATCCATCTACCTTATCTGATAGCAAACGAGGAACACAAGGCTTAGAAAAAATATACTTAATTTTGTTTGTGGCTTCCTGTAGGAAACACAATTTATTGAAAGAATATATTTTTAAGTATATTTTTCAAATATTTTCATTAAAATATGAAATATAAAAATATTATATACTTTAAAAATATTTTCATAAAACTTAGTTTCTTAAACTTTATGTGTACATGGTTTATTAAAACTGTATCAAATAATTCATGTACCTCAGATATAGTTTTCCTCTCAAGAAGTTTAAAGTATTTCCTCATAAGAGGAAATATTTCCTCATACCAAAGCATATGAGAATTCTAGATAAGGAAATTTCAGGCTGAAAGTTCTATGTTACTGCAAGAAATCTGAGAGTTATGAAAGACTGAGGTGTACTCTAAATGAAAAGTCCTTCTTTCTGGCTTCACTTTAGACTCATTTGGGGATATTTAAATATAATGAAGATACCTAGGCCCCATTCCCAGATATTGATTTATTTAATGCATTTTTTTTAAAGCCCTCTGATTATATTGTACAACCAAGATCGAGAACCACGAGTTTAAGCCAGGGGCTGGCAAACTACAGCTCACATGCCAAATCAGGCTCCCTGCCGATTTTTGTATAGCCCACGAACAAAGAATATTTTCACGTTTTAAAAAAACTGCCAGAAGAAAATTACGTCTGACCTAAAATAATTTGGTGAATTTTAAATTTCAGGGCCCATAAATAAAGTTTTGCCAGAACACAGCCATGCCCATTTGTTTGTCTGCTGTCTATGGCTGCTTTTGCATTATCATGGAAGAGCTTAGTAGCCAAGAGAGACCAGAGACCTCTGAATCTTCAAAACGTTTACAACCTCTATCCGGTCATTTATATAAAAAGTTTGCCAACTTCTGGTATTAACCATCCAACTCATAAGAAAGGCCAGAAAAGTGGAGTGAATTTGAAAATTAATTTACATATATGCTAATAGTGTTCCATGGAACCTTCTCCAAAAATCATGCCACCAATGAAGGGAAACCTAATACGAAATGTTCTTTGAGACTGGTCATTGCTGTTTTTCTACTCAGATGACTGGTGATTACTTTCATGGATTTCCAGGCCTGGTTTTTGGTGTATTCTGCATCAACAAGTTTTGGATTTTTCCGAGAGAGAAGAATGAGAGGATCTCGTTCTGGACTTGTCCTATAAAAAAACACATGACATAAACTATGTAGTCTACACCATAGTGCTATTGTCAGTTTCTGAAAGCTGAACAGTACTAGGTATCAGTGCAATGGCTACACTCACAGATGAGCCAGACATTGGTTAAGAGAAAAGAGAAGAGGGGACACTGGGAACTACAGCATCTACATGTTCCTGTGCTATTCCCCATTTTACCCTTCAGGGATGGGAGTATTTGGTCCCTTTCTGCTTTCTGTTGGTCTACAAAAGGTATGCTGTTCTGGTCACTACAGTGAGGAAATGCTTTCATCTTGAGGAGGGTTCATGTAGCCTCTATCATTACTGGTACTCAAAGCTGTGGGATGCGGCCATCACCACTCAACAAAATAGCTACATGTCCTTTGCTGTATTTTCTCTGTAAAGTCGAATATGATAATATTATAAAGAATAAAAACATAGGACTTAAAAAGCTGAAGGCAGTTTCTGGAGAAAATCCTAGTGTTAGCAGTTGAAGTGTTACGGGCTCCTGTGAATCTTTTGAGAACTATGCATATTCTCCCTAGAAAAATGCACATCCCCCCAAATAAGGAGGTCCTTAAGTACTTGGAGCCCAAGTTAAACCCGTAGTATCAAGATCTGAAAATCAGGTAAGTTGACAAGTAGAAGCTGAGCAGCCCATCCATGTCTTCAGTTCCACTGTGTAAGTAAATTAAAGGAAGCTCTGATAGCCTAGTGGGTAAAGAGGTGTGCTGTCAACCCAAAGACAAGTGGTTTGAATCCACCAGCTGCTCTGAGTGACAAGATGGGCCATTGTTTTCTGTGTATGTTTTATGTTGTTGTTAGGTGCCATCGAGTCGTAGACGACCCATTGCGACCCTACGAACGAAAGGCCTGAGCACTGTTCAGACATAGAGTTTCTGGAGGCAAGCTACCTGCTGGAGGGTCAGCTATGAGTTGGTTCTGATTCAACAACACATAATAACAACAAGTAAATTGGAAGGCAAACTGAGAGTATAATCTCAGACAAGGACCTGGATGCAAAAACTACTAAACCATACTCCCTTCATGGTCTTTTCTATTCATCTGTTCACCTAGTATTTACTGTGTAACTACGTGCCAGGGGACATTCTAGGTGCCTAGGAACTAAATCAGATTAACAGATTCCTTCCCTAATCCCAATCTTTTCCATTTCCCTCTTCCTCTCTCTTCTGTCCGCTTCCTTTTCCATTTCTACCAGTCTCACTCTTTTTGTTACCACTATTCAGCTGCCTCATGGTACGATGAAAAAGACAATAAGGAGATTTAAGTGTCACTGGGCAAGTTCCCAATACTCCTGAAACTGTAAGCTTTTTGGCAGGCAGATAACCCATCTATTCAGTTCAATACTGCACAGTTAAAGCCCAAAATGCCAGTGGCACTTTGTGTTTGCTGAATGATTAAATGAATGAACTTTACTTCTTTCAATATAAATTCCATTAAGAGAGATACAGGTGAATAATCTGAGTTCTCCAGTCTAAGATTCTGTGAGTCTGTTTAAATCCATAACTATTTTAGCATTCTCTTTGAGTAAGACCCTCAAAGTTGCTTAGATCTCACACATTAATTAGAAGCATATCGCTGTAAAATATCAATATATAATCACCTTGATCCTCGGAAATATGCTGTTGAATTCTTCTTTGTCCAGGGCCACTGTGCTGCTGACCTAATAAAGGAGGATTTGATTAATTTCTATGTAGTTATTAATTGTATCAAATGCAAACACATCACCATAGAGTTAGTTCTAACTCAGAGCAATCACCCACCAAGTTTCTGAAGTTGTATATTACGGTGGGAGGAGACTGTGCATGGTTCTCCCTCAGAGCAGCTGGCAGATTCATGCAGCCTTTGGATTAGCAGTTCTATTCTCTATGGACTACACCACCAGAACTCTCTGTTGACTGCGTTGTTGTTGATTGCCGTCGAGTCGAGCACGACACATAGCAACCTTATGAACAAAATACCTGAATCCTGTCTGTAACTATCAGTGTTTCTCAAAGTTCACAGAGTTTCCGGAGGCATGTTGTTTACAAAGTTGATGCCACTCCTGCTTCCAAACATAACATATATACATGTATATGTACACACATATATATATTCATGCACATATACACACACACTCTTAAGGATGCTATGGGCAGAATACTGAATGATTCAGGAAGCATTAAAGTGATTAAAGTATTAAAATGATCCAGGAAGAAGGATAGTCACTGTATCAAAAGGAATTGGCTGACACAGAAAAATCTCAAGAAACAACATATGATCAAGAGGAAATGGTGATAAAAGAAGAAGTTCAGGCTGCTCTGAAGGAATTGGCAAAAAACAAGGCCCAGGAATTGATGAATATCAACTGGCATATTTCAACAAACAGATGCTGCTCTGGACACGCACCAGGCTGTGCCAAGAAATCTGAAGGACAATTACCTGGCCAATTGACTGGCAGATATTCCTTTTTATTCTCATTCCAAAAAGAGGTGACAGGAAAGAGTGGAAATTATTGTACAATAACATTCATACCACATGCAAGCAAAATCATGTTGAAGATTATCCCAAATGATTGGAATCTCTGTACATTGACAGAGAACTACCAGAAACATGAGCTGGGTTTAGAAGAGGCCGTGGCACTAGAGACATTATCATCAATGTCAGAAGGATCTTGGCTAAAAGTAAAGAATACCAGAGGAACATCTATCTGTGTTTCATTGACTATGCAAAGGTGTTTTACTGTGTGGATGACAACAAATTATGGCTAACCTTAAGAAGAATGGGAATCTCAGACTATTTGATTATGCTCATGCAAAACCTATACTCAGATAAAAAAATGGTCCTCAGAACAGAGCAAGGAAACCCAGCATGGTTCAAAATCAGGAAAGGAGTGCATTTGGGATGTGTCCTGTCTCCATACATTTTCAAACTATATGTGAAACAGATCATTTGGGAGGCTGGGCTTTACAAGGAGGAATGTGGCATCAGGATTGGAAGAAGACTCATCAACAACCCATAGTATGCAGATGACAACCTTGCTTACAGAAACTGAGGAGGACCAGAAGTGCTTGCTGCAGAAAGTCAAGGACTGTGGTCTTCAATATGGATTGAAGCACAACATCAAGAAGACAAAGATTCTCACCACTGGCCAATTGGCAATACCATGATGCCAATTAGTAAATTGATATTGTTAACAATTTCAGCTTTCTTGGCTCAATCAACATTCTGGGCACCAGCAATCAGGAAATCAAAAGACGAATTGCACTAGGAAAAATCTGCTGTCAAGGACCTCTCCAGAGTACTAAGAAGCAATAACATCAATCTAGAAACTAAAGTGTGCCTGATTCAGGCCGTAGCCTTTGCAATTAATTGCTATGCATGAGAGAGCTAGACAATGACTAAGATGACTGAAGAAGAATCGATGCCTTTGAGTCATAGTGCTGGAAAAGAATACTAAACAATTTATGGACTGCCAAGAGAAAAAATAGGTCTGTCTTGGAGAGGGTGAAACCAAGTTTCTCCTTGGAGGTAAGGATTTTGAAGCTCCATCTTATATACCTTAGGAACGTAGCCAGGAGGGACCGATCCTTGGCGAAGGACATCATGCTTGGACAAGTGGAAGGAAAGAGGAGGAGAGGAAGATCCTAGATGAGCTGACTATAGGGGATATGTTTTAATTACTTCTGAAGCTTAATTCAGAACTTTGTATTTTAATATAAGATGGTGAGGACTTGTTGTCCATTCACATTTATGATACCATGTTACCTTTTAAATTTTTTTAAAATTAATTTTTTATTGAGAATATGCACAGCAAAATAAACATGAATCCAATGGTTTCTAGATGTACAATTGTATGACAATGATCTTCAAGTATTCTCATCTTCGCAGCTTCAATTATTCTCTTTTCTCTTTTGAGTTGTTCTTTCTCCATTAACATAAACTCACTATCCCTTAAAGGTTCCTATCTAATCTTTTTATAGATAAGATCCTTCCTAGCTAGTGCTTCTTGTCAATGTTTTTTAAAAAAAGGTAGTTTGGGGGTCGGCAAAGGAAAGATCCAATGTGAAAAACAATGCATACGAACTTAATTAAGTAAAAAAAGTATAAAATAAAAATTTTATTTAAAATTTTAAAAAAAAAAACCATTGTGGTTTGGATATAAGTTTATAGGGCAAATTTTTCTTTTCTCAGTAAGTAATTTACAGGCCCTTTATTTTGTAATATAAGCATTTTCTCCATTTCCTCGCCGGGGTCTACACAGCCCTTCCTTTCTGTCCCTACCTGCCCACTGACCTTTGTTCTGAGACACATGAAACCCTTTTGGTCTCATAAGTATGGTTAATTGTGCATTCCTCTTACTTGTTCACTTTACAGGCCTATCATTTCATTGAAAAGCAATAGCTGGGAGTGAGTTCAGTTCCATGTCTGTTGGGCATAGAAGGGGTCACAATTTTGGTGATTCCATCAGTCTCTATCAGTCTTCAATAATTTTAAATTTCATTCTTGTTCTCAATTTTATTTTATATAGATAGTTCTTAAAAGAGTATAACCCTCAAGGAAGATATTTTTCACTAGTTAAACTACTATTTGTTCTAAGAAGACTTTGGGGGACTTTTTTTTTTTGCTTAAAAGAGTCTGGGATGATATCAGAAGTCTGTCTAGTTTGCACAGCTCCAGAAAGTCTACGAGAATTTGAACTACATTTCCTCTTTTTGAACAGGTCTCTTCTACAGCACCTTTGATCAAAATATGCAGTAATAGTAACGGGGCATCATTAAGTTCTTCTAGTCTCATGACAAAGGAAGCACCTACGCACAGAAGCAACTAGTCATACATCCATTTTTTCCTGTTCCTGACTCACTACCTTCCTTTGTTATTTCAGAAGGCTAAGAAGGACCAATTGGTGTGCCTTAAATTACGGTCCCATTTGTTATCACTTTATTCATCTAAAGGGATTAGTGGATTACCAGCGGGATGTAATTGTGAAAATAAAATTGAATTTTACAAAGACTGTATTTCTAGAAGTCTTCCATTAAATGCCAATGTTGTGTGACTCATTAATGCACAATGCAGCTAGGTTAGGGAATATCTTTGGTTTAGACAACCTGGAATCAGATGTAAGAGCAGGATGAAGTCAACAGGTCAAGCTGTCTCGGCTATGTGATGAATTAGCATAAGTTCTATACTTAGATGGTTAAAAGGACATTTATGGGTCCCAACCTGCTCAACAGGAGCTCTGGTGGCACAGAGGGTTAGTTGTTGGGTTAATACTCAAAAGGTCCAAGGATCGAACCTATCCACTAGAGGAAAATGAAGTAGTATGTGCCTATTAAGAGTGATAGCCTTGGAAACCTAATGAGGCATTTCTAGTTTGTATTAAAGGGTCACTACAAGTCAGAATCAATGGGCATCCAAATTTTGCTTGGTTTTCTCCCTACCCAAAGGAGCTCTGGTGGTCTAAGAGTTAAAGCACTCGGCTGCTATCTGAAAAGCTGACCTTTGGAATCCACCGAGCAGCTCTGCAAGACGAGCAGCTCTGCAAGTTGAAGGCCTGGTAATTGCTTCAATAAAGGTTATAGTCAGTAAAGTCCCAGGGAACAAATCTACCCTGTTCCATGAGCTTGCAATGAATCATAGTCAACTCAACAATACATACAAACAACAACATCCTCGCTTAATGAACCCAGCTCAAAATTATCAAGTACATGAATGTTTTTCCGAGCAATTTTCTACCCTCCCCACAACAAGGCCATACACATGTTCTAATTATGGAAGACTGTTAGAGAAATCTTAAAAGCATGGAAAAAAATTAAAGAAGAAAACAAAAGGCTCCCATACTTCCTTCCTCAGAGGCACTGCTGATGTTCTAGGGTAGATTCTTTAGTAGATTTTTCTATATATGTGTGCAAATATTTTTATACATACACAGAACTGACTATGCTATGAATAGGTTTTTTTCAGCTTGAAAATTAACAATTTAAAGTATCACTATGAGTTGCAAGCGACTCAACAGCACCTAATAACAACAATATATATATATCCTACCACTTATTTCAAGAAAATAAAACTTACAGGACTTACCTTGCCAGATCTTCTCTGAAGAGGTCCCACCGTCCAAGACCTGTAGGATAAATTGGCCAAACAGCAGGTCCACCTTCCCAAAAGGTCCAAGCAGGATACATGATATCATGATACTCTGATGTCTTTAATAGAAACAGAAAGGCCATGCTACATCAGTACAGAAATAAAGCAATAAGACTCAAACTGCAGAGGCCACTGGATCCTAACAAAGGCCTTGCTATAGTGTTAACCTGCCAAAGGTACACTCTCCCTAATTGTAAATGTTAGACTCTGAACAACAACAACAACAACAAAAATGGCTCACTGAAACCCAAAAGTTGTTTTTCTAAAAGACATATACATTTAAGGGTTTCAGAGTAAGGAAATAATAAATCATAAATGATCAATTTCTCTCTCTCATCTCTTAATGTCTATTACACTTAAGAGTTTATACTGTCTTACACAGTTCTTGGTTTTCCTAGATGGTCTTGTGAGAAAAATAACTAGAAAATATACTGCAGTGGTAAAGAGAATGGTCTCTGGAAACAGAACATAGGAATCTGCTGAATTTCTCTCTTTCCAGTTTTCCAATTCCAGGTGAATTCTTATGTCGTGGTTTCCAAATCTTTGCTGTTGTCATTAATATGGGAAGTAAAATTTCTATCTACCTAATGAGCTTACTTTGAATATAAAATGAGTTAAAGCATGCAAAACACTGAAAACAGTCCCTGGCAGATAGTAATGACTCAGAAAGTGTTAGGTAGCTTTATTTGCTCAATACTGTGGTACTGTGTTGAGCTCATTAGCTGCTCAATAAATTCTTAGTTGTTTACGGATCAGGATTGGAAACGTCTGTAGGTAGAATTGTGGGAAAAGATGGTGTTCCACATCTTTTAACAATGTTGTAAAAACAATTTATTCCCTTTATATAGTTACTTCTAGCAAAGCTTTGAACACTAATAAACCCAAGTCTGTTTTTCCCTTTGGAATTACATTTACAACATGCTGTTTGCCTTTTCTCACATACTTGAAAAATGATATATGATTCATCAAGTATCTCACAAATGATAGCAGCTCCTTAAAAACTGCACAGTTTAAAGGTGACAAACTAAAATCCCTCCCTTGGAAACTAGGAGTCACTTATCTTTTAAAATAACAGGCAGTTAAGATGTAGAGTTAGTATACTGATGGCTGTATTTGATTATCAACAGAAACAACAAATAACAAACAAAAGTGTCCTTTACTGACTCATGGGAACCTCTATCTGTTCTTCTGGCAGAGTTTCACCACAAACAATGGGATCAAGCATTTTGGAAAAAAGAAGCTAAACCATGGGAAAAGCAACACAAATGTGACCTCATCCCATCTGCAACACAGGAAATAAACAAGTCTAGAGAGAAAGTAAACTGTGATAAAGAACAAGTAGGGACAAATGGTCCCTCTGCACTGGAGACAGATATTAAAGATAGGCTTTTTGCCAAGGTCCATGGGATTTTCTAAACCCATCTTTCTCCCACAGACTCACCCAACCCTCTGTGTTCTTGCCACTCCATCCCCCTCATCCCCAACTAAATGCTTTCACACCAGCCTCTCAAACCTTTCAAACCCAGTGTCATTTCTGCATCATTTACATGAAGCTGACCTATGAGGAGTTATTCACTTCCTCAAGCCCTCAGGTCTTGCCTCGTTTTCTCACTTCTCTGTATGAACTTCTCATATTTCTCGCTGTGATCTGAGACATTATCCAGTGCACTGCTTAAGAACAAACTATAACTACAATCCCAGAGGCACACGGTTCGAATCCACCAGATGCTCTGCCGGGAAAAGGAGGAATAATCTCCTCCTGTACCAGTCAGACCTGATTTGACGGTACACTCACACAAAAATAAAAAATTTAAAAAAAAAAATATTTAAAAAAAAAAGAACAAACTATATGGTGCTATTTAATACTTTTGGGTTAAGTACTGGTCATGCTGGGCCCACAGGATACAGTTTGAGACAGGACAGATGATACCTGATACTAAGGCTGACAATATGTAGTAGCACAACAAATATTCTTTAGACCATGAGCTCTTTCGGACTCATGATCGCATACTCTGTAGCAGCTGAGTCCTCCCTTCAATGCCTTGTAAGTTTCTCCTTCTTTTCATGCTGTAACACCATTCTCAGCACTAAAGATACTTCAGCAATATTACATTTCTTTTTGGTCCTCAACTCTGACTCCTCGGTCTTACTGCTCAACCACTTTGATGCTACCAGGGAACAGGATCTATTCCTGGACTTCACCAGTAGACGTAAAACTGTACTATAGGAAAATGAGCTCCTGCTCATAACCTAGAAGATTCTCCCTCCCCCATGTAGGTCCTTCCTGAACTTACCTTGCTGAAGGAGAAGACTGGAATGGCGGGCTCCATCCACTTAGGAACCTGAGGATAATCTCGTACATTGATTACCATCTCCATATCAGGGAGACGCCCAATAACGTCCAAAATAAAGTGTTCAACACCACTACATCTGCCAAACAAAAATAACACAAATTCATGACGGTAGACCAGAGCTATTATTGCTGAGGTCAGATGGATCCTGGCTGAATGTCTGTGTTTTACTGACTAAAGGCATTTGACTGTGTGGACCACAACAGACTATGGTTAACATTGAGAAGAACGGGAATCACAGAACACTTACTTGTGCTCAATCAAATGAAATATCTACCTAGCTCAAGAATCTGTTGTCTGAACAGAACAAGAGAACACTGAATGGCTGAAAATTGTGAAGGATGTGTGTCAGGAGTGTATCCTTTATCCATACCTATTGAATCTGTACGCTGAGCAAATAATTCATGAAGCCAGACTCTCTGAAGAAGAATATGGTGTCAGGATTAGAAGACTCATCAAAAACCTGCACTATGCGATGACACAGCTTTGAATCCTGAAAGCAAGGGAGACCAGAGGTGCTGGTTGCAGAAGACCAAAGAATATAGCCCTCAATTTGGATCGCATCTCAACATCAAGGAAACAAAGGTCTTTACCACTGGGCCAGTGAGCAATATCATGATTGACAAAGAAAGGGCAAAAACAGTGAAATATTTCTTCTTGTTTGAATCCACAATATCCTTGGTACCAGGAGATACAAAGATGTATTGCTTGGGGCAAGTTACTGTCAGGGGCCTCTCCAAAATACTCAAGGATAATGACGTCACTTTGAAGACTAAGATGTGCCTGATCCAGGCCATGTTCTTTTCAATTAATTGCTATGTATCTAAGAGCTGGACAATGAATAAGGATGACAGAGGAAGTGTTGATGCCTTTGCATGGTGGTGTTAGAGAAGAGTACTGAATATCCAATGGACTGTCAAAAGAATGAACATGTATGATTTGGGAAAGGTGCAACACGAATGTTCCTTGGAGGCCAGGACAGTAATGCTTCATCTCTCCTATTTTGAACAGGTTGCTAGGAGAGGGATTCCTTGGAAAAGGGTATCATGTTTGGAATGGTGGAAAGTCATCAAAAAAGATGATGACTCACAACAAGATAAAGGTAAATAATCCAATAGAAAAATGGGCACAGGATATGAACAGGCATTTCACCGAAGACGACATTCAGATGGCTAACAAACACATGAAGAAATGCTCAAAATCCCTAGCCCTAAGAGAGATGCAAATTAAAACAACTATGAGATATCATTTCACCCCAGTCAAAATAGCAAAATTTAACAGAACAGCAAGCAACAAATGCTGGCGAGGTTGTGGAGAAACTGGAACCCTGATTCACTGTTGGTGGGAGTGTAAAATGGTGCAACCCCTGTGGAAAGCAGTATGGTGCTTTCTCAAAAAGTTGCAAATAGAGATACCATTTGACCCAGCAATTCCACTACTGGGAATATACCCTGAAGAGACCATAGCTGACATCCAAGCAGATATATGCACACCCATGTTTATTGCAGCTTTGTTCACAATAGCAAGGAGTTGGAAACAACCTAAGTGCCCATCAACAAACGAATGGCTAGAGAAGCTGTGGTATATTCGCACAATGGAATACTATGCTGCATTAAAAAACAAGGAACTCATGCAATATTATTCAAAATGGTTGACTCTGGAGAACATTATGCTGAGTGAAATATCCCAGCCACAAAAGGACAAATATTACATGATGCCACTGTTGTAGAATGGGACTGTCCTTGGGGTTGGGGAGAGACTGAGTAAGATGGGTTCAATAATGTATACTGCACTGAAACAGAGGAGGGAGAAAACTGTTTAAAAGAGATATATAACTAGGTATTTCTGTCATCACAGAAGTCTAGAGCGAGGGCTACATGGTGGAGGGGACCTGGGGGAGGGTTTGTAAAACAATGAAAGAATCTTTTCTTTTACTTTTCCATAATTTCTGGACTCATGTACTTATAACTTGTTAGTCAAATTTGTGTCTTCTAGGTTGCAACACCCCCATGATACATCTTCAAGGATATGAACATGTACGGCCAAGCACAATCAATAAGAGTGCATCTAAATCCCAAAATCAATCTCCATAATAGTCTATGTGTTTCCTACTGCCAAAGGGGCCCTTTAGAGTAGTAAGAGAAGATCTTCACCCTGAAACCCACAGCGTCCCTTTTCAGCAGGAAGTAGCTAAGAGAATACGCCATCCCCTTTTCCTTATGACTCAGGGTGAAGTCTCTCTCAGGGAGGAGTGATAGGGAATGGCAAAGGACACACTGACAAAGAAGATTAATCAGAACTGGCTTTGACAAGCACTGTGGCATTTGGACAAGAACAAACTGGGAGGAGGGTAGAGAGAATAGTGCAACAATGAATGAATGGAAACCCAAAATCTCTGTAAATGTTTATGAAAATTAATAAAAATATAGAAAAAAAAACCAGAAAACAAAAAAAACCCAAAAAACAAACAAACAAAAAAGATGATGACTCCCATTGAGATGGACAGTGACTACAGCAATGGGCTCAAGTGTCTTAGAGACGGGGAGGTTGGCACAGGACAGAATAGGATTCAGAACTGTTGTTCACAGGGTCATTATGAGTCATACTCAACTTGACAGCACCTAACAACAACAAAAACTGCATCTTCTCTAGAATAAGAGAGGATCCTACCAACACTTTAGGTAAGACAAGCCAGTATTCAGATCATTAGATATGATGTAGATGGTACAGGATAGTACAGGGGACAGGGTTCAGCTCTGTTTTCCACAGGATCATAATGAGTCATACTCGATTCAACAGTACTTAACAACCACCACCACCACCACCACCAAGGCATGTGGTAAATATCAAAGGCAATGGTGTAGGAAAGTTATTTTGAACAATAAATCCTATACTACCCAACTTTCACTACAATCTCCAATATGGACTGAAGCTCAACATGAAGAAAACATAATTCTCACCACTGAGCCATTTGGTAGCACCATGATAAATGGGGAAAAGATTGAGACTGTTAAAAATTTTAGCTTACTCTGTCCCACAATCAACATCCATGGCACCAGTAGTCAGGAAATAAAAGAAAGGGGGGGGGGAAGGAACTGCATTGGGAAAATCTGCCGTCAGGAACTTCTCTAGAGTGCTAAAGAGTAATGATGTCAGTTTGGAGACTAAGGTGCACATGATCCAGGCCATGGTCTTTGCAATTACTTGCTATATATTAGAAGGTTAATGAAAACAGATGACAGAAGAATTGATGCCTTTGAGTTACGGCAGTGGAAAAGAATACTGAACATACCATGCATGAACTGCCAAAAGAACAAACATTTCTGTCCCGGAGAGGGTGAAGCCAAGCTGCTCCTTGGAGGCAAGGATTTTGAAACTCCATCTTATATACTTTGGGCATGTTGCCTGGAGGTATCACTCCTTGGAGAAGGACATCACACTTTAAATGGCAGAGAGACAACCCAAGAGAGGAAGATCCAGGGTGAGATGCATCGACAGAGTAACTGAAATAATGGAGGTAGGTGTGTCAGAGACAGTTTGACTGGCTCAGGCTGGGGCAGAGATCCAAGCTATTATGCATAGAGTCATTATGAGTCACAGGCAACTCGACGACACAAAGCAACAACAATATAACTCTATTTCAAATAAGTCTACAAACATTTTTCCAAATACAGGTGCTTATTTTGTGTCTCTGTGTTACATTATGGCAATTATCACAATATTTCTCACAACCTTTTTTCATAATGCAATTGCACATTTACTAAGTGACACATAGTCTTAATATAACTTTTACGTGCACTGACAAATCAAGAAATTAGTGTGACTCTTTATTTTGATATTAGCTTCACTGCTGTGATGTGAAGTCAAATATACAATATCTCCAAGGCATGCCTGTGCTTAGTAAGATTGTCCGAAGAACTTATCATAAATTTAGATGGACTATCATTGCTACTCTTACCATCCCTTCTCTCCTATCTGTTCCCTATTTTAATTTCACTTATGTAGATGTTATATATCATCGAGTTGGTTCTGACTCATAGCAACCCAGTGTACAAAAGTACAAAATATTACCCAGTCTGACATCTACCTCACAACTGCTGCTGTGTCTGGATCCATGGCTGTAGTTGTTGTGTCAATTCTCCTTGTGGAGGTATCTTTCTCTAGGACTGGCCCCTTCTGATAACTCGCCCAAAGTATGTGAGATAAAATCTTGCCATCTTCACTCCTAAGAAGCATTCTTGCTGCATGTCTTTCAAAACAGGATTGTTTGTTCTTTAGGCAATGCATTCAAAATTCTCTGCCAACATCTCAGTTCAAGGGTTTCAATTACTGCACCATTATTCCAGCTTTCATACACATATGAAATGATTTAAAATACCCTGACTTGAGTCAAGCATATCTTAGTCTCCAAGTGACATTCTTTCTCTTTAGTACTTTAGAGAGTTCTTTCACAGCACATTTGTCTTGATTGCTGCTTCTATGGGTGTTGATTAGATTCAAGAAAAATGGAATCCATGGCAACTTTAACCTTTTCTCTGTTAATAATGATGCTGATTATTGATCCACTTAAAAGGATACTTGTTTACTTTGCATTGAAGTGTTTTCCATGCTAAAGGCTAAAATCTTAGACCTTCTTCAATAAATGCTTCAAGTCTTCTTCATTGTCAACAAGTAATGCCGTTGTCATATGTATATCACAGGTTGCTATTGAGCATTCTTCTGATTCTGATACCACAGTCTTCTTCATATGGGTGAGTTCCTAAGATTATTTGTCAGAAACTATTGGGAAAGTTGGCTGTCAGGGACCTCTCCAGAGTACTGAAGAGCAACGATGTCAGTCTGGAGAATAAGGTGCACCTGATCCAGGCCACAGTCTTCAAAATTGTTTGCTATGAATCAGATAACTGGATAAATGACTAGGGAGGATACAAAGAGAATTGATGCCTTTGAGCTGAGGTGCTGGAAAAGAGTGTTGAATATACCATGAACCACCAAAAGAACAAACAGGTTCATCCTAGAGAGGGTGAGGCCAGCCTGCTCTTTGGAGACAAGGTATCTGAGGCTTTGTCTGACATACGT